TTTGGAGGGGGCTCCAAAGTCAATTTCCACCAGGTGAAATGGTCCAATGGCATTGATTGTAAATATTTAAAGGTTTTCCAACCTTTGGAGCTGGATTAAGTTTATGGGGTTAGCGTCCTCCAAATGAGCTCAAATTTGGAGGGTTGACACTAGAGACATGTCACATCAATATGAAAATGACAGACCCTGAATCAGATGCCAATTGAATGGGTTTCAATGTGATGAAAAAATCACCCAGAAAGGGCTTTAAGACCTAAGTCTATAGCCTAAAAATTCTGGGTTTGGATTGAGTTAATATTCTGACTGGGCCTAAGGGCTAGGAGCTTGCAAAATTCTAGGATCTAGAACTCTGAGTGTAGTTAAAAGTTACCTCATAAAAAAATGAGGTCAACAAATGGACCCTCAATGTGCGTAGTAGAAGGAACTTCTGCTATGCGCATTAGCGTTGACTGAATGACAATTTTGAATAGAATCTTGAGAGTGTGAGGAAGGGCTTCACCCAACCTTAAGTCTACAGGATGCTGATAGAAGACTTACTCCTAGTAGATAGAATCAACTGGGAATCCTAGGTAGGCATCACCTAATCTTAGGTCTAAGTAAGGGCATCACCCAACCTTAGGTCTATAGGATGCTGATAGAAGACTTACTCCTAATAGACAAATTAACTGGGAAACCAAGGTAGGCATCACCTAACCTTGGGTCTAAGGAAGGGCATCACCTAACATTAGGTCTATAGGATACTCATAAAAGATTTACTCCTAATAGACAGATTAATTGGGAAACCAAGGTAGGCACACCTAACCTTGGGTCTAAGAAAGGGCATCACCCAACCTTAGGTCTATAGGATGCTGATAGAATACTTACTCCTAATAGACAGATTAACTGGAAAACTAAGGTAGGCATCACCTAACCTTGTGTCTAAGGAAGGGCATCACCAAACCTTAGGTCTATAGGATGCTGATAGAAGACTTACTCCTAAAAGAAAGATTAACTAGAAAACCAAGGTAGGCATCACCTAACCTTGGGTCTAAGAAAGGGCATCACCCAACCTTAGGTTTATAGGATGCTAATATAAGACTTACTCCTAATATACAAATTAATTGGGATGGTCATGTGGGGAGAAAACTTGCTCCACACAAAGGACCAAAACTAGCAAACTAGGATGGTGCCACGAAGGGCATACTCCACCACTAATCCCCAAGTCAAATGCCAGGATGGTACCACGAAGGGTGTACTCCACCACTAACGGGTCTAACCCTAAGGGAAGGAAGGACCTAACCTTAAGGAAAAGACAAAGGTATTAAGAAAGTATAAGAGAGCATAAAGAACTAAATCAAAATTGCAAGTCAAGGAAAAGGAAAATTTTATTGATTTGACAAAATGAGCTACATCAAGCATAATACTTCTTAAGGAAATGCCCGTTAAAGGGTATCATCGGGTGATTTCCTTTATAATCCACTAGCTGATACGAGCCTCCTTCGTAGACAATCTATACAACGAAGGGTCCTTCCTAAATTGGTTCAAACTTACCTCCCACTTTCGGTGGGCTAAGATAGGCCTCCAAAGGACCAACACCAAGTCTGCTACTTGGAAGATCCTAGGTCTCACTAACTTGTCATGATCTTGAATCATTTGAGATTTATACAACTCTAGACTTTATTGAGCTTGGAGACGTCGCTCTTCAAGTTCTTCGAGTTCTTCCAACCGCAGTTTTGCATTTTGTTCATTCATGATTTGATTCTGAACTGTGATTCTAAGTGAAGGGATTTGTATGTCCAAGGGTAAAACGGTCTCAGATCCATACAATAGTGCAAACAGAGTGGATTGGGTTGGGGTTCTATAAGTGGTGCGGTAAGCCCACAAAGCTTCCACCAACCACTCATCCCATTGCCGTTTGTTATCATTAAGGGTCTTTTTAATGATTTGCACCAAAGTTTTTTTGAAGGCCTCAGCTAATTCATTTGTCTGGGGGTAATAGATTGTCAAGTATCTTCAATCAATGTTATGGCGTCTTACAAAACTATTGATTTTTGTAGACTTGAACGCGGACCCATGATCAGATATGATTCTGCGGGGTACACCGAATCGATATACAATATGGTCAAGAAAGAACTTTAACACATGGTGGGATGTTACATTACGCAGGGGAATTGCCTCCACCCACTTTAAAAAGTAATTAGTCGCAGCTAATAAGAAATGATGACCTCTCGAAGAAGGGCGGTCAATCGGCCCGATAACATCCATGCCCCAACTTTCGAAGGGCCACGAAGCTATCGTAGGGTAAAACACATTAGGCGGTTGATGTAGAACCACACCATGGACCTGACATTGATGACAATGCTTTACAACATTCATGCAATCGTCAATCATTGTAGGCCAATAGTACCCAAGTCTTTTGATTCTCAATTTCATCTTTGCATCCGATTGATGTGCACTGTATAGTCCTGAATGGACCTCATTAACGATCTTCAGGGCTTGCTGTTTGTCCAAACAACGTAGCCACATCTGATCGAATGATCGACAGTACAGTGAATTGTTGACTAGTGCATAAGATAGGGCACGTTTCTTAATCTGGTTGGAGAGAGATTTATCCTGGGGAAGTTTTTTCTTTTGAAGGTAATCAATTAAATGTCGTGTCCAATCGCCTTCTTCTTCAGTCGTCGAAGACGCAGAAAAGATTTGGAGAGGTTTCTTACTGATATATTCCAAATCTATTGGAGAGAGGGCTTTGCGACCCTGAATCTCTATAAGGATGGAATCTTCCTCTGGGCATGCGAATTCCTTTGCAAGTTTTGCTAAGGCATCTACCGTAGAATTGCTTCCACGGGGAACCCTATACAGAGTCACAGTAGGAATTTGTTCAAGCAAGTGAAGGGTGTACTGCTGGTATTTTGAAATATTAGGATTCAAGACCTTATAGGTTCCTGCGACTTGATTAATTACCAATTGAGAGTCACCAAAGATCTTAATCACTTTAATTTCCATCAAAATTACAAGTTCCAAACCGGTTATCAGAGCTTCATATTCAGCCTCGTTATTCGTGCAAGGGTCTGACAAATGATAGGAAAAGTGCATCATCCCTCTCTCCGGCGTTATAAAAATTAAGCCGACCCTTGCCTTTCCGGGGATTATAGATTGTTGGGTTGCATCCAGGCGAGAGGACGCCGCACCATCAAAATATAATTCCCATACGGCTTCTCCAGATTTCCTCAAACTCATGACTTGTTCATCTGGTAAGTCATCATTCAAAGGAGATTCTGCCGGTAGTGGGTGTGACACCAGGAAGTCGACAATGGCTTGCCCTTTTATAGCACGGAGGGGTATGAAAGTAATCTCAAATTGGAGTAGTATCATAGACCAACGAGCCAAACATTCTGACAACGTCGGTCGGGTCATAAGTTACTGCAAAGATTTAACTTTAGAAATTAAACTGATCGAATGGAAAATCATGTAATATCTCAGCTTCTGGGGTGCAAAAACTAAAGAAAGGCAATGCTTCTCAATTGGTGTGTATCGAATTTCAGTAAGGAGAAGTCTTCGGTTAAGGTAGTAGAGAGCATTCTCTTTCCCTTCGTCGTTGATTTGGGCTAACAGGGCACCTAAGGATTCATCTAAGGCTGCAGTATAGAGGATTAACAGTTTTCCTTGAATCCGAGCTGCTAGAACTAGCGGATTAGAAAGGTATTGTTTGATGTTATCAAAGGCATTGTAGCACTTCTCGTCCCATCCGAATTTAGTACCTTTCTTCGCAAGGCTAGAAAAGGGTTGGCATCTCCCAGAAAGATTAGAAATAAATCTCCTTTTATATGCCAATCTACCTTGAAGAGATCTTAACTGAGTAAGACTCTTAGGAGATGGCATATCTAAGATGGCTTCAATTTTAGCATGGTCAATCTCAATTCCTCAGTTCCTCACTATGAATCTTAATAATTTTCCTGAAGTGACGCCAAAGGCGCATTTCAAGGGGTTCTTTTCAAATCGTAGCGGCGCAACCGTTCAAATACAACTCTTAAGTCATATAGATGAGCCTCTTTGACCTTACTCTTGACAACTAAGTCATCAATGTAACAATCGACTTGATTGTGGATTAAGTCATCAAAGATATGAGTCAAGGCCCGCTGGTAGGTTTCCCCAGCATTCTTCAGGCCAAATGGCATCACCTTATAACAAAAGATCCCTATAGGGGTCTGAATGTATTATTTCTCTCATCTTCTTGGACCATCTTGATTTGGGTATAACCAGATGAGCGATCCATAAAAGAGAAAATAGCATGTGAGGAAGCAATGTCCACCATAAGTTCTGGTATGGGTAGAGGGAACTTATCATTAGGACATTCCTTATTCCGATCCCTATAGTCAACACAAATTTGGATATGATCATTTTTCTTTCGAACTGGCATGACGCTGGCCAACCAAGAGGGGTATTGTTCCTCTCGGATGAACCTGGCTTCGGCTAATTTTTTAACTTCGAAAATGACTTGTTGATCAATTTCTAGGCACAACGCCATGGACCTGCTTAATAGGAATGGCATTCGATGCCAAACTCCAAGTTTTTGTGGACTATACCCAGCAGACAAACTCACATTTTATGTATTTCCCATGCAAACATATCTCTGAACTCAAACAATAATTGAAGGAAATCCTGCGTCTCATTTTTCCAGTAAAGTACTTATAAAGTAGAGGTGGGGTCATCATCAGTCCTAGTTTAAATTTCTCTTAACTGTCGAACCGTCATTAATTTCTTCATTTGAATTCGGGGGGTGCATCCTGAACTTGAAAGTTCATCGGATCGTCTAAAAGTCTCTAAAACATGCCCATCCACAAGGACCAGATGTCTCATCCATAAGACATTTTGAAGATTCAAATGGTATAAGTTCATTAAGCATATTCATCGTCATCAAATGAGAGTGAGCGCGTCCAAAGCTGAACCAAGCCATTGGATTTTTCTTGATCATGGTTGCCATATTTTCATGGTACTGGCTTGACCCTTAGTTCAAATCAATATGGAATAGAACTTATAGAGGAAAGTTTTTTTATACAAATAAGGAATAGCCAAGGTAGTTCCATTAATTCATTAAAATCTTCCTCCTCAAGGGTTACATCACCTTCATCCCTTGCAGAGGAGGAGCCAGGAAAGAATTTCTGGACTTTCTTTACTTCACCATTCAGGTTGGGGGCCACTTTAACCTCTAACCCGACAATCCTGCCAGCTGACAGTTGGGTCAGGGAAAGGGCCTCAATCCTCCTACTGATCTTTTCGTACATCGTTAATTAAGGCTTGTCACTTTTATCCTTCGAGTTATCTACCTCAAAATCACTGTCTTGGTCTAAGGTGAGATCAAATTTTGGAGGAGTGTTTATATTCTTATAGTCGAGAGAGAATGCAACACCTTGATTTTCTGGTTCATTATCAGAATCTGATTCTGGGTCAATGTACACAGGTGTTGTTCTCTTATCCAATGAAGTACGACCCCGACCTCGTGCCCTTAAGGCCATCCTCCCACCTCTTTGAGGTAATTTGTTTGGAGACCTAAGGACAACGATATCAAAATCATCATCACTACTCGATTATATATTTTCTTGATGGGTGATTTTATCTTTTTCCTTTTCTTGGTTGGATTTTTGTCCAGCCAATTTCTCCTTAATCTTGATCTAAAACTTAGAACGGGACGAGGACACTTTTGGTATGAAATATGCTGCATCCTCATAGATCGCAATTTCTTGAATAGAGAATGGTTGCAGATCACCCTTAATCACATGTTCAATATCGTCTCGTTGATACTTGACGCATTGGTGTAGGGTAAATGGAACCATTCTATATTTGTTGATCCAAGGTCTACCTAAGAGTGCGTTAAAGGACGTTGCCGAATTAATTATATGAAATTTAGCTTCAGTTTTCAATTCTCCTATCTCTAAGAGAAAAGTGATTGAACCTAAAGCTACCTCGTCTTTCTTGTTGAACCCATGAAGTACCAACTTATCAGTTGAAAGCTTGCAAGTATCAACTCTGAGATAAGCGAGGGTCTTTATGTTCATTACATTGACCGATGCACCCGGATCAACAAGGACTCTTGATAACTTGAAATTTTTCACATCTACAATAATGTAAAGGGGATGGTTGTGGTCGGCGGTTCCCAAGAGTAAGTCTTCGTCTGAAAAAATAACTCTAAGGACCTCTTTAAAGTAAAGTGCCTCATCTTTTGAAGTTGAAGCCAATTGGGCTAGGCAAGTCTCAGGGTCGAGAAGTGTCTTGATTAAAGACTCCCTCATTTCTTTGGAAATAAGGAGAGCGTCATAAATACTTAATTTGGTTGGCAACTTCCTAAGATGGGCAAGGCCATTATAATCAACTTTAGGAATGACAGACTCAAAACATGGAGGAATTAAAGGGAAATCAGATTGTTGAGGGGAGTTTGGATTTAGATCTTCGAAAATGGATTACTTGCCTTTCTCCTATGGGGAAATCATAGGGGGTAAGACTTTACCGCCACGAAGTTGCACATGCTCGATATCCTCGGGCTGGTAAACTAGAGCGGTGTCTACACTCACCGTGGGCAACGGATTGTTATTTGTCGAAAGAGAGTCAGAATCTGAAAACTCTATCTTGATAGGATTTCCCTGAAAGTTAAACTAGGGGAAATCACTCTCTGATAAGGTTTCACATTCGACATCTTCTTGAGTGGTTGACTCAAGAGGGTCGATTTGTTTGATATTGATATTTACTTCATCAAAATTTTGATTTAAAATAAGAGAATCACCAAATTGTACTTCAGACTTATGGCTAATCGTCAAGAAAGAGGCAGAAGGATATTTTTTATTCATCTTTTGACCCATTGCCTTTGATGGGGCAAAGTAAAAGTTAGATAACAAGAGAGGGAAAGAGTTTTTAAACCACCATCCGCCACTCTAATACATCTCTCATCAACATACTTTCTCTCTACAAATTCATCTATCTTTTATTTTACATATTTCATAGTAGTTCCTATGACTACTGGAGAGGGAAGTGGATCAACATCCTTGTGCGAAGCGTCCAGGTCAACTTCTCACACCGGGCCTTGGGCTGTCGTATTCAGTTGTTGAGAAAGATGAAAAGATTTGTTAATCAACTTTTTAAATATCCGGGACAGAGAAATGTCCCAACCATCTTCGATTGAAAGAGAAGAGTTAAGAAGATTACCTGAGATAGTTTTGACTGAGGCCTTTTCTGGATCCACCAAATACTCTTTAGGAATTATAATATTACCTTGAATATAGTTCCTCTTGAGCCAATCTTTGAACACAACAGAATCCTCATGTGGATGACTAAGTATTCAATGGTATGTGCAGTATTTAGAATCTTCTTTCTTACTCTCATCCTCTGGTCTCCTAGCCTCTGGTAACTGGAAATTTGGCTTCTTTAACAAACTCTTGAATATCTTTTTAACTGACTCCCTTTTAAATGGATAAGATTTTGCCAATCTCTCTTTAAAAGGGATGAAGGCGGGATCTTTAGTATGCTGAGGAATTATTTGAAAGGGCTGCTTCTGAGGTGGTTGTGGTGGAGGTGGAGCGCTAGGCTGACTAATCACTGGCCTCTTCTCCTTGTCAACCACTGAAACCACAGCTTTCTTCTCAAAAGTTTTCACCAACTTAGGACCCTTCTTATCTTTAGGCTGCTCTCGTAAGAATGGCATCTTAGGAGCCTCTTTGCTAGCCTCGTTGAGAAGTTTTTCAAAAGTTTTAATAGTGAAACCCTTTAGGAGAAAAGCAATCGGGTCATGAATATTCTTTAGAAGAATTTCCACGGCATGTTGCTCTTGCAACTAGGGTTCACACTTCATCGAGAGGTTTTGCCACCTCAAGATGTATCCAACCAGAGACTCTCCCGGCTTTTACTTTTCAACAACAAGATCGCCCACAGTGGTGCATTGTTGCACTCCAGAAAATTTCTTTATAAAAAGATTTTCAAGATCGCAAAAGCTTCTTACTGAACCGTTGGGCAGATCGGCGTACCACTCAAAAGAAATGCTAGACAGACTACTTACAAATTGGAGAAAAAGTAGAGCATCTGACCCTCCTGCACTGCAATAGCTCGCTCGGAAGTGGGCCAGATGTTGTCTCGGGTTTTTGACTTTAGTGAAAATTTTAAATGACGGTGTCACAAAACCCTTTAAATAAGGAACTGAGTCATATTCCTCGGGGTAGGGTCTACCTTTTGGAATAGACGCGGTCTCTTGTGAAAGAGCTAAGGCATCCCTTACCTGGTCGTCAATCAGTTGTTTAATGTCTTTCTGAGGTGGAATTGGAGGGGCGGTGGAAATTGTGGGCTGAACTGGAGGTACTTCTGGTGGGCAAGGAGGGATCACAAGTGCTGAC